GAGAGCGCCAAGGACCCGGAGGTGTGGTAAAAAAAGGTCGAGGACGGGGCGGCATGGTTCATGAGGAAATGGCACAGGCAGGAGGCGGAAGCGTCCGCGAAACGCCAGCGCGCGAGGGAAGCAGAAGCAGAGAGTACGGCCATCTCAGGACCGAAGAGAAAGAGAGTCGGGCCCCGGCGCGGTGGGGGGGAAGAAACGGCGACCGGGCACTGCTGTAGCAGCGAGTAGGGCGGCCGAGGCAGCACTCGTGGCGAACTATGTACCCGGCTGATGTTGTTGCGCCCTGTTTCCCTCCCTGCTGTATGCTATACTCCTTTATGTATGTCCTTTGTATTGCCTTCGGCCTCTGTGCTGTGTTTCTTTTTCATGACCTCCCTGCCTACTCGGCTGTGTTGGGTACCTTGATCTCGCTTTGCTGTTGCCTTTGCTTTTGTACGTCTGGCTGTCTGCCCATCTGCCGCCTCTTTGTCCTCTTTGCTCCGTTACTCCCATGCCCTGGTGCGTAGTGCCTGGTGCTGGTACGTTACCTTTTATTTTTTCTTTGGGCGGGTGTGGGAAGCGTCCTCCTTTATTTTTGTTTTTGTTTTATTTTGATCGGTTTCCGAGGGCTCTTTTCTCGAACGGTCGGTGCGATACCTGTTCTGTTCTTTCTATCATTTTGTTTTCTTTTTCCGAGTGGTTTGTACCCTATTTTTGTTTTTTTTCCCGCGGCGTCCTATGTGCCGGGTTTTGAGACCACGGGCTCCCCATTTTTTGTGGACTATAGAGCTAATGTGAGAAACAACAACAAAAACAACAACAACTCGAAGCGCTCGAGCAACGACCACTGCACCGGTAAAGATCGCAAGGCGTTAAATGTGGTCATGCTGAATATTATCCTGCAGTGTCTGCACTCATCCAACAGCGAAAAAAATCGAAGCACGTGGTATGTGTGCCGGTTGCAGGCCACCCACACCATCGCTCTGACTGATGCGTGAGCAGTAAATAATAGACACTGTTTAGTTCCCAATACCGACCACATGTCTTATCTTTGTTACTTGTATTAACCCTCGTACCCATGATACGTCTTCTTACCCATGATAACGTGCGCTCCCATGTTAACGAGGGCCTTGGCCGTCTCGTATCCCACACCGGTGTTGCTCCCCGTGATGATGACCACCTGCACCATCGGGAGCCAAACACAGCAGTCAAGCATCACGCCAGAGGTTGTTGAATATAGGCTGAGGAACATGGAGCGTAACGGCAAAAAAAACAATGGGAGGACTCTGCAAACGCCAACGCAACATATGGCGGCACACAAAGCGAGCCAGCAGGCCGTAGCCACATGCCGAGGGGGACAAGTCAGAGGAGATGGTGTATCGTGGTTTGGTGAGGCTTTTCAAGTACAGCAGCAGCAGTGATTCAACAACATACGACGCGGGCCTTGCAGGTAGGCAGGCGGCTGTCTGCTTCGTTCCCCCTCTGTCTCTCGTGCAGTTTCGCACACAACACATGAAGAAGCACGCTCACTTCCCTTGACGAGGGCTATCGCCATGAGTCGGGCCAACGCCTACCATTGATGCGCAACTCCCAAAAGACGCGGGCGTTTCTCGGGCAGCTGCAAAAAAATGCGCCATAGCGCGTCACACGCTTGCACCCCGCACCATACAGCAGTACCGCAAGCAAAGCAAGCGGTGTTGCTGCTGTTGCCGCTGCGGGGCTCTCTAGTACTGCACAACATGCTCCAACACACACATATCGGCAGCACGTGGGACATTGTGCGTGCCGTCGACATGAGCATCGAAAACACACGGAACCCTGCCCGAACGGAATCCCCCTCGCCCTGGTTGTATGTCCACCCCACCATGTTTCCAAGTCAGCTGCCGCCGCCGTCGCCCCTGCTAGAACCGCTACAGCCTAAAACATCCACGACAGCCCGCTGCGAAACACCCATGAGCGAAAAAGCCTTGGGGCACATCTAGTCGGGGTCCGCACACACCTTCCCCGACATGTTGACGCTTCGGGGCTCGACGCCCCTGACGAACTTGAGGTAGCAGCGCGCCACCGCGGCTGCCGCCACTGTGGCAATGATGCCGTAGTTGATCTCCAGCATGGACGGGCTCCTGTGACGTCGTACCATACCCCCCCCCCCCCCCCCCCCCCCCCCCCCCCCCCCCCCCCCCCCCCCCCC